GGGGGGGGGGGGGGGGGGGGGGGGGGGGGGGAGGCAGAGCCAGGCGGATCTCTGAGTTTACAGCCAGCCTGGTCTACAGAATGAATTCCAGGACATCCAGGGCTACACAGAGAAACCCTGTCTTGAAAAACTAAAAATAGAAAAAAATAAATAAATAAATGCTATTAGGCTAAGTCATCAAAAAAGAAAATAAAAAGAAAACCAATTTAACTAGTCAAGAGCCCTTGCACACAGCTGACAGAATGAGAGGCACGCATTTTCACCTCTTACTCCTTTAAAAGAAAGAGGGGGAAAGCAGTATCTTCACAGGCAACAAAAATAACTAGATTTACCCAATAAGGTTGGTGACTTCTCTCCCAATGCTGTGAGTCAAATAGAGAGGGTCCCTAAGTATTTTTTTATTCATTTACTTATTTGTATGGGTGCTTTGCCTGTATTAGGTCTCAGGCAGTATATAAATCCAGAAATGAGAGTCTTGGCCCAATTCAAGCTACTATAGAAGGATATCTGGTGGTTAAATAAAAGTCAACATTCCTCAGGAACTTTTAAAACAGGCTCTCATCAATCAAAAGGAGTCATTTCCCTTACCTCTGACAGAAGGGACATATGGCTCTCCACTGACACATACCTGTGGCTACTAGCATATCAAAGTTCATGATAGCCTCCAGGCTCCTTCAGTTCCCATTCACATGTACCCATTACACATTTCAAAGTCTCCACACTAGCCCCCTGGACCTCCTCACCCCCACCCTAGACTCTCAGGCCTGCTCCAGCTGACAGGCTGCTCCCACTGCTCCTCATCCTCCTCATAAAGCACTATTCTCCCAACCCCGCTTCCCCAGCCCTGGCCATGTCCAGTCTGCTGCTTTTTCTCTTTGCTCTGGACTCTTCAGGATGAGAAGACAAAATGAAAAAGGCCATTTCATTTCTAGGCTCATAAAACAGTCTTATGCTGTCTCCTCTCAGAACACAGTGGGGCTGCCAACCGAAACAATTCATAAACCTATGACCAACTACTCTAGCATCCCTGTCTTGAGCTGAGAAAAGGGCTGCCACTTGTGTGACAGCTTTGTGAAGATAAAAGGTCTGTCAGAAACACTGAAGGCCCCCGGTCGGTGGTGGTGCACGCCTTTAATCCCAGCACTCTGGAGGCAGAGGCAGGCCAGCCTGGTCTACAAGAGCGAGTTCCAGCCGGGTGGTGGTGGCGCACACCTTTAATCCCAGCACTCAGGCAGAGGCAGGTGGATCTCTGTGAGCTCGAGGCCAGCCTGGTCTATAAGAGCTAGTTCCATGACATGCACCAAAGCCACAAAGAAAAAACAAAAAAAAAAAACAAAAAAGAAAGACAGACTGACTGAAGGCAAAAGAAAGAAAGGAAGGAAGGAAGGAAGGAAGGAAGGAAGGAAGGAAGGAAGGAAGGAAGAAAGAAAGAAAGAAAGAAAGAAAGAAAGAAAGAAAGAAAGAAAGAAAGAAAGAAGGCTCTACGACCCATTCTCCTCCACTTACCCCTGCCTTGTTTAAAGGGGTCATGGGAAGACTTAGCTACTGTCTAAGGAAGTAAACTCACAAGTCCTCCACATCCCAAACACTCTCCAAACTCTTCCTTTGGAGGGTCACAAAGCCCTTTGCTAACCTGAGTTCCCAGGCCCAATCCCAGTCAGCTGCCCCTCAGTGCATCTTTGAGTTCATCACTGAAGGAGACCTCAGCACACAGGATCCTGGGGGGAAAGACAGAAGGAGAGGAAAGAAAAGGGGACAAGCAAAGAGTAACAGCCCCTTCTTCGCTCCAATGCTCTCAAGCTTACTTTTCTGGCATGGCTGTGGCTTCAGACAATGAAACCCCAAAGAGAAGCCAGAACAAAAGATGCCTCACAAGAGCAGCTAGGGCTCTCATTTGCTCAAGGCCAGCTGAGATCATGTGTTGGTGCAAAAAAGAACAAAGGGCTTTTTAAAGACTTCTGACAGCCAAAGATACGGCTGCAACTGATGAATTCTAATTTGAGGGTCTAAGAAATGAACGCTCTCTGTCCTTCTATAGAAAGTCCCTTTTATAAACCAAGCTTACCCCACCTCAATGTCCTGATGCCACCTCGCACAGACCCACATCAATGTCCCTCATCTGCCTCAATGCTTCCTTCTAACAACAGAGTTTAAAGATGTCTTATAGTATAAAGACAGCAACTAAAAACCTAAATTACATTATCTCTGGGTAATAAAACGTGAGTTAATTCTTCTTAGTTTTCGTAAAACCAAAACAAAACAAAATATGGACACACATTATGGGAAAACAAGAACAACTGTGTATCAAGGACACCATCACTCTGACCTCATAGTGTGTAATGGGCTATTCTTCTCAAAAGTGCGGCTCACAGCTCTTCACTTCCACAGAGGTTATCTGCTATAAATTGGGGTTGAAAACACCCAACTAGGTAACTGCCCTCAAAAATAAATGCCCTTCAGGGGGCAAGCCTGGGTGAATGAGGCTTTGAGAGCACAGACTGCTTAGGAAGGACACTTTGGTACTCTTCAATCCACTGTCTCAGCAGACCACACGGAGAGGCTGGACACAGGAGCAAAGGCTGTTCTAGTGATGGAGAAGCCAGAACACAGAATGCTGGAGTCTCTCACACAAACTGCAATTCCTCAAACAGTCCCAGTAAGAAAACTGCTGGCTTCCCAGAACTTCAAACACTCACATACTGGAAGTCAACAGAGAATGACGATAAAGAGTCCTAAATGGAACAGAACTTGTCCCATGTACACAAGCCAAAGACGGCAATAAAACTGGGAACACAATGTTTGAAAAAAATGTTATTAAATAAGGCAATTAATAAAATTAATAAGATATACAAACACAATGAACATTTCAGATATGAAGAACCTCTAAATATGATACAAAAGGTTCATTGTACATTTTCCTGAAAAGTTATTCATATTCCCTGTCTTCACCCCAGAATTCGTGTCCCTCCAGTGACCTAAAATTCAACATCTCTTCTCACCTCCTGAGGCAGCTCCAGCTTTGACCGGTCATCGAGGCCATTGGAATGCAAGCCCATCAGGTACGGAACAGGAGCATCTAAGAAATGCAGGAGAGAAGCTGGGAGGATGGGGACGTAGACATGCTGCCACTGGAAAGGAAACATGAGAGCTGTAATCGTCTCCGCCACGGTCATCAGTCTCTGGTAATCTAGGTCAAGAAAAAAGAAGCATACTCAGCAAAGCAGTCAAATGAACACTTGCTTCTTATAAAGAAAGCTCAAACTTCCAATAAAATCCATCTGACCCAGGGGCCATGTGACTCTTACCTTGGAAGACCACAGTTGAAACAACCCCCTCACACACACAGGTTCAGCTAGTAATAAAATTTAATAATAGAAACAATAAATGCATCTTTCTCTAGCTACTACTCCAGAATATGTTAAGTATACTCTCTGAAGTTGGGGTGGGGAAGGCTAAAACAAAAAGAACAGTGGTCAGTATATTCTGTTCTCCAAAGAGCAAAACAAGATCATTTACCACTCAGACACTACTGCACACTAATACAACTCTGCGAGTTTAGCTAGGCATGGTGGGCTCATGCTGGCACTGAGGCTGAAGCAAAAGACTGCCATGAGCTTTAAGCTAGCCTGTGAAACTGACTAACAGCAAATTAATTATAGGTCCCACTTATCTTCAGTTTGATACATTTGTCTCATCCCCAGTTCCTGGCACACAGGTCCTAAGGATCTTGGACGTTTTTGGACTGAGATGACAGGTGACTGAGGGTGGGCCTGGACAGCGTTCACGGTGAGCGCTCATTACCAGAAAGGCATGAGGAGAGGCCAGGTTCCCAGGGAGGGCAGAGGGGAGAGACACTAGAAACTTAGTTAATCACCAATGCACAAGGCTTGTGTAGCAATTAAAAAAAAATTAAAATCAAAAAGTAGATCCAAAGACCTTCTGGGCTAGTACACACACACAGACACTGGAGTTAGGCACACCCAAAGAAGGGCCATGGGTGCACCGTGAAGTTCTAGTACACCGGTCTCAACTGTATCTTTTCTAATAAATAAAATAAAGAATAGCACTCTCCTCTATTCTGTAATCCACTCTAGAATTTTATCAATATGAAGAGGGAGTTGTGAGAATCTTAAAGTTACACAAAATACAGAGAGCCCAGGCTGACCATCAGTATCCAAAGAGTGAGCTAACTCCAGATTGTTCACCCCTTACTCTGGTACATTTTTTTTAATGGTCTTATTATGTAACTCTGGCTGAACTGAAACTTGCTATGTAGACCAGGTTGTCCTCAAACTCACAAAGACCCATTTGCTTTTGTCTCCTGAGTGCTGGAATCTAAGACAAGTACCATGAAGTCCAGTCCTCCACTACTAGTAAGTATTACTAATAAAAAGTCTAATAATTCTCCAGATGATGGTCATTCTTCTATTTTCAATATTTTAATATTTATTACTTGCTTTCAAAACATCTACAAATAGCCGGGCGATGGTGGCGCACGCCTTTAATCCCATCACTCGGGAGGCAGAGGCAGGTGGATCTCTGTGAGTTCAAGACCAGCCTGGTTTACAGAGCTAGTTCCAGGACAGGCTCCAAAGCCACAGAGAAACCCTGTCTCGAAAAACCAAAAAAAAAAAATCTACAAATGAAAGCTATAGTCAACGATTCTCAGACATCTGAAAAAAAAATGTATTCTAAAATCCAAATGATAAAGGGCTGGGAGGTGACTCAGTAGATAAAAGCACTGGTTGCTCTTGCAGAGGACCCAGGTTTGGTTACTAGCACCCACATGGTAGCTCACAGCCATCCCTAACTCCTGTCCCAGGGTAACAAACACCTCTTCTGTATTCTGAGGGCACCAGAAATGCACAGGGAACATACATACATGGAGGCAAAACACACATACACATAATTTTTTTTAAAGTTTTTAAAAAATCCAAAAGATGAATCAAAAGATATTAAAACATAGGAGAAAAACCTTTAGATGATTATTTAAATTCAGTTCTACTATTGCCAATACTGGCATTGAAACATATATTCTGAATAGATATTCTACACACCATTTCAAGATTGGGTATATGGTATATGGAATGGAGCAAAGGAGGGAGAAAGGGAAGAAAGGAGAGAAGGGAGCAAGCAGGGGCCTTTCCTCTTTTTTTTTTTTTTTTTTTTTTTTTCCCCTCGAGACAGGGTTTATCTGTAGCTATGGAGTCTGTCCTGGAACTAGCTCTGTAGAGCAGGCTGGCCTCAAACCCACAGTGATCTGCTTGCCTCTGCCTCCTGAGTGCTGGGATTAATGGTGTGCACCACCACCGCCCAGCGGGCCTTTCCTTTTTTTAACCACAAGAAAATCAAAGAGCTTTGGTTGGAAATATTCAATCACACTGTGAACCCCAAGTTAGTATTTGTGTTAAATAAAATAAGCCATGGGTCAGGAGGCTGAGTTAGCAACTAATTGACAGAAAGTAATCCGAGCATCAGAGAGCGTCTGAAGAGCTAGAGGGATTCTGAGTGGCGGAGGGGAGAACTAACGAAGAGAGAAGGTTAGCTAGTCGCTAGTCAATCATTCTGAGCTGGCAGCAACAGAGTCAGTCAGGCCAGTGACAGAGCTTCCCTGTGGGAACAGAATTCCCGCCACACTGCAGTATGATTGGCCTGGCTGCTACTGGAGAAGCAACCGAGTAACTGCAGAGTTGTAGTTTCTGGCTGAAATAGCAGCAGATTAAGGTGAACCACTGTGTTGAAGACAAAACAACAAGCTTCCCGTCCCCTGCCCTAGCCAGAGTGTGAAGCATACATATGCCTCTCCAGGAGACAAGAACACAAACCCTCTTCTGTACACTAGTACCAACAACAAGATCAGCACCTCCTTTGCCATAGCATCCCATAAGCCTCAACTATTAACGCTTGAGCTCCAGGCAACTGTAAAGGCAGTTACTTCTAATAAAGGAGATAACTCAAAGCCCACTGGAACTAGAGACACTAAGAAAAAATGAACACATCTTTGTAACTTGTTCTTAGAAATGCAACCCAAGGACACGCCACACAGTATATATGCACAAAGCAGGAAAGCTGTGACGGTGACAATTTTATGGGACCACCACTGGACCACATGAGCAGTCTGCCACAGACCAGAAAGCTGTTTTTTGATTTTTCAAGACAGGGTTTCTCTGTGTAGTTCTTCTGGCTGTCCTGGAACCTGCTCTGTAGACCATGCTGGCCTCGAACTCAAAGATTCACTTGCCTCTGCCTCCCAAGTGCTGGAACTAAAGGTGTGTGCCACCACACACAGGAGGACTGTACTTTTCATCAGAAACTACAGAAGGAAGCCTCAGGAGCCATTCATCAACAGATGCTTTTGTTTGGCCTATACTGTTTTTTTTTAAATATTTATTCATTTATTATGTATACAATATTCTGTCGGTGTCTATGTCTGCAGGCCAGAAGAGGGCACCAGACCTCATTACAGATGATTGTGAGCCACCATGTGGTTGCCGGGAATTGAACTCAGGACCTTTGGAAGAGCAGGCAATGCTCTCAACCACTGAGCCACCTCCCCAGCCCGCCTATACTGTTTCTTAACAGCATTGTTGCCATCATTTAAAATTTAGAGATTTCACCTAAGAAAGCCTGGGTTCATATGAAAAACTGGAAGATTTACTAACATCAGGCCAGCAGCACCTCAAGAAATTAACTGAAACTAGTAGCTGTTTATTTTAGATGGGTATGTGCTCTTCAAATCAAAATAGTCTACAACCTGTGACAGATGGTGCCTGTAATCCCAGCACTAGGGAAGCAGAGACAGGAAGACTAAGTTGCACATAAGTTCTGGGTCAGTCTGGCTACATACTAGTTCTAGAACAGACCGAGAAACAGTGAGATCTTGATCAAACAAACAGCTCAGTGTAAGAGAGTATACTGCTAGTTCAGGAAGCTGGGGATGGCTCAGTGTAAGAGAGTATACTGCTTGTCCTGGGAATCCAAGCTTGATTTCCAGCACCCACATCAGACTCACACTGCCTGTTACCACAGCTCCAGAAAACTTGAAGTCTCTGGCCTCCATGGGCATCTATACATATATATGCAAACATCCACACAAACATACAAATAAATAAAAACAAAATAAATCTTTGTGGGTGAAAAAAGACTCTATTTGTAATCCAAAATGAAAATAAAATGTGTTGTAAAAAATCATTCTATTGCCAGGCAGTGGTGGTGGCGCACACCTTTAATCCCAGCACTCAGGGGATGCAGAGGCAGGTGGATTTCTGTGCATTCAAGGCCAGCCTGGTCTACAGAGTGAGTTCCAAGACAGAGCTGTTACACAGAGAAGCCATGTGGGGAGAGAGAGAGCGACTGGAACTTGGGCTGGAATGACGGCTTAGTGGTTAAAAATACTTGCTGCTCTTCCAGAGGCCCAATTTCACCCAGACATATCAGGTGCCTCACAGTTGTCTATAACTCCAGCTCTAGGGGAATCTGATGTCTCTAGCCGCTGCAAGCACGTGCCCTCACATGCACATACCCACACGCAAACACACACATCTACACAAACTTAAAATAATAAAATAAAAATTTTAAAGCAACCAGAACTTTGCTTCCCCAAATATCATCTTTCTAGCTTATCTTTATCCAAAGTCTTGAACTCCCTTTCATTCTGCATTGTTTATTAACTCTTCTTGTCTCATTAAATTACAAATTCTACTACAGAAAGAATATTTTTCTATTTTTTTTTCTATCACTTTTATCTAGCACCCTTGAAACAATGCCTGGAACACTGTGCACTCTCAGTAAGTATGTACTGAAATTTATGATACCAGTCTGACTCATACAGTAAGCAACTGTTCTTTCTCATCTACCTTAGTATTCTTTCTAAATCTGCTATTCAGATTTAACTCTCATTTAGAGAAACAATTCAGATAACAAACAACAGAAAGAAGCAACAATTCATCTTCTCAATATAAAAGAATCATCCTTTAGGAAATCCTTGATCTTACTGTCAGCCTGAGGAGGAGACAGAATGACAGAACATATCACTACCATTACCTCCTAACCCTTTTTAGCACCAATCAGCAGGCTATGTGAAGACAGTGTTCCCCTCCCAAATTAGATCTATTCCTACCAAAAGACCATAATGATAGCCAATCGGGAGATAGCTTCTAGGGAGCCCAACCATTCCCCTCCCACCTGTAAAGCCTACATCTGACCCTGACCTTCAGGGTCAGGCCCACTATATGTGAAGAGAAAGTGGGACCCCACGTGGATGGAGCACTAACTTACGCTGTGAGTAAAGCAGGATCTGAAACTCCAGAAGGGCACAAGTGAAAAGCTGAAACACATTCTCCACCCCAAGCAGTTCAAAAACCTCTTTGACAGGGAAGTCAAACAGAGGAAGTTCATTGGTACTTGGTCTCTGGCAGATTATTGGCCCATAGACCCCAGAAAACTTTAGCGAGCGGCCAGGAGGTGGAAGTGGCACCTCATAGAGTACGTTGTATATGTAGCTCTCAAGGGGCAGAGGAGGGGGCTGAGGTGATGTGACCGCCTGGTGGAGCTGCTGCAGCACACTCCGACATGCCTTCATGAAGGACATAGGAGTGATGAGGCAGATGCATTTAGAGACATAGAGCGTGTCCCGGCTAATGTCATAGGAGTTGAAGCGCTGCAGCTTGGTTCCAGGTATGCCTTCACCATCTTCCATACCACTCTGGTCTCCACCATCAGCAAGTGGAGCACGAAGGACATCATACTCAGCATTGTGCATGTGGTAGAGGGTCTGCATTGCACTGCAGATCTGCTTGCTGGTCACTTCTTCATAAAAGGTGAGGGCAAACCCAAATGTCCGAGAGCCATCCTCCCTTGTGATAATAAAGGCATGGAACTGTGGCTCCCTGGGATCAGCCTGGGTCTTGAATGACAGCCCTTTGGGCATGCACAGCTGCAAAAGACAACAGGAAAACACGTAGTGAGGGCATTCCTTGTCCTCTTCAGAACACATATCAGTTAGCAAGATCTACTGTGTTGGACACCATCTACCAAAAGCTCTCCCACACTAATACAATACACACACTGACTCACTATTATATATTTGTCTGACACAATAGAAATTTTTTACCAATTTAATACACTGATCAAATACAGAATCATGAGAAATGTGTTCTATAATCCTTTCTTCAAGAACTACTAGTGTTGGGGTATACCTCAATGATGTGCTTGTCCAACATAAATAAGGCCACAACACCCCCAAAAAATAAAACAAGTACTCGATGAAGCACTGCTACGACCCCCAGGATTCATGACCCTACTATAAACTACTGTGCATAATTACATGGCTAATAAATACTAACCATTCCCACTGCATCCTGGTCAAAGGGGTTCCAATCTACATTCTCAGGGTATCGGGCAAGGACCTTAGACTTGAATGTTCGTCTCAATGGCGTCTGCTCAAAGTTTTCTCCTGAAAGAAGAATGAAGCAAATAATCTCCACAAAGGCCCTTAAATCACAGGTTTAGGAACACAAAGTGTGGCAGTCCAGCAAGGCACAGAAATGAAGGCAAGGGGTTAGTATGCCAGCCACCTAAGTAAGAAAGGCATCGAAAGTTACTATGTCAATAAGGAGCTGAAAAAGTATAGCGTAGTTAATAGCGGACACCACTACCCTCAAAAATGAAATCACTGCTATAAGCCCACTGGTTAATTTTCTTGTAAAAGAGGGAGAAAGCACAAGGAATCAAACTGGATTGCCCATCCCCCACTCCCCCAAAGTCACATTTAATTTGCCTAAAATCAACTGAAAACATTGCAGAAGCATATCATTTTAAGAATAAGTTATATACTTCTGTGATAATAAAAATACAAAGACATTAAGACTTCCGGAATGCTATCAATGGGTACTTTATCAGTTCAGAATCATCCGAAATTGCTAGAATTCTTAGTTTCTGCCTCCTCGTAAAAACACTAGCATCTGCTGAAGTAATAACATTAAAGTGAGGAATGAAAGAGCCAAAAATCCACCTAGAGAGACACAAATCTGATAAATCTACTGCTCAAAAAGGCACAAGATGGTTAAAAGGCCAAAGAGTCTAAATGCCACTTTTAGAAAGACTGAGAACTGGAAAGCTCTGGGTGTGCTCAATTTTGTTTTGTTTTTACCTTCAGTCGTACTTGAAATGAAAGGGCTGGCACCATCCCTGGCTTTAGAAGCCTGAATGTACTGGCATAATGCTATATAATAAATGAAATAACAGAGTATTACAATAAAGCAGTATTATTCAAACTTTTTGACCATGACTCCTGAACAAGACACATTTTATGTCACAAAGCAATAAATGCATACACATGTGTATAAATGTGTATGTATATATATACTCACACACACACATATAAATATTTGCTTAAAACAAAAAATCCACAAAATAATACTTACCTTTACTTTATATGATATTCTATTCTAAAACAGACTGGCTGAGTGTTATACACCTGTAATCGCAGAGCTTGGGAGACTAAAGTGGCATGGAGCCTGTGTGTGCATACTAGTTAGTCTGCATGTGTACACACTGTCTCTCTGACAGCCCTGGCTGGCCTTGAACTCACTATCTAGACCAGGCTGGCCTCAAACTCACAGACACCCACCTGCCTTTGCCTCCCAAGTGCTGGGATTACAGGTGTGCCCACCGCACCCGTGGGGGCTGGAAATTATTAGGGAGATGCACTGCTCATCATTACTGGATGGCACAGGCCTGAGGATAGAAAGATCCTCACCAAAAATCATCCCCCAGGCATCTCACAGGTTTCTTTCTTAGAGCTGGAGATGTAGCTCAGTCGGTAGTGTTTGCTTAGCATGTACAAAGCACCACATGAAACCAGCTATAATAAATAGTACACATCTTTTATCCCAGGACACTGGAGGTGAAGGCAAGATCAAAATTCAAGGTCAGGACTCAACAGTGTGCTCACAAGCACCTCTAACTCCAGTTCTGGGGGATCTGATGTCCTTTTCTGGCAATGCATGCATATGGTAAACATACAAATAAGCACACATACATACATACATACAAATAATTTAAAAACTTTAAGTATAAGGTCATCTTGCCGACAGTTTGAGGCCAGTCCAAGCTACAAGAAACCGGGGGGGGGGGGGATTCTAAGGCACCTATTTAGAAAACTAAAAACTCTACTTAGACATATTGTTTTCTAATTAAAATCTTTTTCATCCACTCTGAGTTTTGCCCAAGTCCGTAATTTTCAACTTCTGTCAAGACACAACTTTCCTTCTGTTAGTAAAGCAAGTACCAACCACACTTTCAATTTCTCTCATCTTCCAATTCCTTCTTCTCAACAGATCCCTCTGAAACTTTCCTTTTTAGTGCACTTCATCTCTCAAAATACACTTCATCTCCACTCAGGAAGACTAGCACCATAGCAGGCAGCTGCGACAGCTACAAGAAAGGACTGCAGCTTATGCAGAGCTAGTCCCTGCTCTCAGCAGCACCTGCTGAGATCCACCCATGGCAGGCCTGAACTCAGGGCATTAAGTAATCAAGCAGCAAGTAGCTGACATAATGATCCTGACTACAGTCAAAATTCTCAGAGGGTATTTTTAAACCACCTCAGTTCTGAGAGGAGATAACTGTTTCTTCTTTCTAAGCTCCCAAAACTTGCTATGTTAGCTCATTTCTTCCTAGCTTACCTAAAAAATCCAGAGAGAAATCTATAAAATACCTGAACATACATAGCGGTCAGGGCGGCTATCACTGTTCTAACTAAAAACTTCTGGAGAAAGTTATCCTAAGATGGCTATGAAGCTTCCCTAAGACAAGATGAGCACTCAGATGACAGAATTTTAAAGGACAGAATATGGAAAAACAGCAGCCTAGGTGGTAAAGAGTGGAACCAGGGGCTGGAGAGAGGGCTGAGAGTCTAAAAGCACTGACTGATCTCGCAATGGGCATGGGTTTGATTCTTACTTACATAGCAGCTCATAACCATCTATAACTCTAGTTCCAGTTCTAGGGGCCTCCTCAGGCACCAGGTACCCACAAGGTTCACATACATACATGCAGACAAAACACTTAAACACATAATTTTTTAGTATTTCATATACAGTTTTATAATTTATATAAACAAATCTCTTTATATATTTTATGTAAATAAAACTCTCTTTTTTTTAGTGTAAAATAAGAGAAAAAGGGAGTTCACAAACCTGAAGTCTTTTTGTTGATATGCTTCAATCCTTTATTGTTTATAGAGGGCTGCATTTTTAAAAGCAGCAGTAACACAATAATAACTGAAAGCCTACAGAGATCACTGTCTGAAGCCAGTGTGCACGTGCACCTTAGTCACTCTACTGTATAATCTCTAGAAATTCAAACAATACTGGGAATGTGACATCACACCATCAATTCCTGCTGTTCTAGAAATGGCAGATAGTTCTTTGCCCAACATATATAGCAAACATAAACAGGGGGCTGGAGAGATGATGGCTCAGCAGTTAAGAGCACTGGCTGTTCTTCCACTGGGACCCAGATTTAAGACCTGGCACCTACATGGAGGCTAACCAGGGGATCAGGCTCCCTCTTCTAGCATTTGCTGGTACTGCATGCAAATGGTACACATAAACACAAGCAGGCAAAACATTCAAACACATAAAGTACAAAAAAAATTAAAAACCTTAAGTTTTAATTAAGGTATAGTGGCGCACACCTTTAATCCCAGCACTCGAGAGGCAGAGGCAGGCAGATCTCTGTGATTTTGATACCAGACTGGTCTACACATTGACTTGGAGGACGGACAGCCAGAGCCACATCTGAGACTCTGTTTCAAAGGGTTTCAACAAAACCAAAACACAAACAAACAAAAAACCCGTAATAGCGACAGATTTAAGAACTAAATTCCATTTCTAACAACAATTTAAATGTTGGGTGTGGTGCTCCTTTGTCTCTGTGAAGCTGCCTCTACAGAGATAAATTTCAGGAAACCTTAATTTTTTTAAGAATCTTACATACCTTAGGACATCTACTGAGTTGTACACTTTTTCTGCTTGGCCAAGCCAAGTAACAAAATAATATTTGTATTGCTATTGATCTGTCGGTATTAACTTGATCAAATCACCCTAAACTGGGGAAGGGAGGCTTATGTTGAAAGTGTCAAAGAACCCCTGAGTTCTCTACAGTGGTTTTATGAAGACATGAGAAGGGAACCACAATTTCTATCAGATTCTAAGTTCCAGAACTCAAAAAAGCCATGATGACAGCTACAAATATTTCTCTGAATTTGGGAAGGAAATACCCCACCATAAACAGCCTAAGCGGGCATGCTAAACACATGCACCACTACATAACTAACGCTTTCCAGGCTGGTGCTGACCCAAATTAGAGCAATATTATTTTCTTTCCTTTTTTAAAAATTATTTTTAAGGATTCCTTTTTATTTATTCATTTTTATGTGCATTGGTGTTTTGTCTGCATGTATGTACAGATCCCCTGGAACTGGAGTTACAGACAGCTGTGAACTGCCAAATGGGTGCTGGGAACTGAACCACAGTCCTCTGGAAGAGCAGCCAGCGCTGTTAACCTCTGAGCCCTTCTTTTCTTTCATTAGATGCCTACATTGAAGCCAAGTACAGTAGCATATGCTTGTAACCCAGTACTTGGGAAGTAGGGGTGGGGAGGACCAAGGTCATCAGCTACACTATAAGCTAAAGTCTAGATTGGAGTACACGGAACCCTGTCCAAAAAAAGAGAGAGAAAAAAGAAAGGAAGGGAGAGAGAAAGGGGAGAGAGGAGGAGGAGGAGAAGAGGGTGGGAAGGAAGCGAGAGAGAGGGAAGAGACAGTGTTGGAGGAGATTTCTGAGTGCTTGCGAGAAAACTCCAAGAAATCAAACAAGAATCTTGTGACCTCAGTTTCTTCAAAAACACAGAACTGTTATTGGATTATTCCTCTGTGCTTCCTTCTCCCAAGCTTAGCAGACAGGAGTGCAATTACAACTGCCTACTGTTATTTATTTATGCGTCTCTATGGAAAAAACATTTCTGCCATGTGGTGCATGTGCAGTGACTGTACTTTACTCAGGTGACTCCTCTTGGCCCTCAGAGTACAAACTGGCTGATGCTCTGAATACAGCTGGCCTGAGACTGGTCTGCCTCCTTTGTCAGCACCCTGCCTCCAGGCCCCAGCCCCTCTAGAGAGGTTTTGCTTAAAACGTGACAGAGTAGCTCATATCACCACATCAATTTTCCTGTAAATAACCATGAACTTGACAAAATTTAATTAAAAAAAAAAACAGGAACCATTTAAAAGCACTGAAGAATGAAAAGCAGGAGGGCTGGCAGGGAAAGAACTAGCATTTCAAAAAAGGAGAATTAGTCTGGTAAATGTCTCTTTGTCTATGGCTTCCAGCCAGCACGTCCCATTGTGTACAAGAGGCATCCATATTTCTAACAAAACCCACACCAGTCTTACAATCTTCCCCTGAGGGCAAACCTGAAGGCTGTGATAGCAGCTAGAAAGCCAAGACAGGAAATTCTAAGGAGAACTAGAGAGGGGGATCTAAAACCTATGCATAAATTCTGCCCACATTCCAGGCCAATCCCTGAACTGTATATACAGGGAATATACACCACAGTCAAACTAAAAGAAATGAAGATTCAGGGAAAAGTTAACAAACTGTGAGGCTAGCACAAAGATTCGAGGCTTGCCAGGCATGGCAAATGGCTTTAATCCCAGCACAGGGGATGCAGAGGTAAACAGATCTCTGTGAGTTCAAGTACAGCCTGATCTACAGAGTTCCAGGACAGCTAGGGCTACACAGACCAAAAAAGAAAATGTTTAATTTATTTTTATTGTATGTGTGTATCTGTGCACATGTGAGTGTAGGTACCCGCAGAGTCCAGAAGGCAATGTAAGGTCCCCTGGAGCTGGAATTCCTGGCAGTTGTAAGCCACCTGACATAGGCACTAGACACTGCACTCGGAAAAGCAGTATACACTCTTGACAGCTGAGCCATCTCTGTAGCCTACAAGCATAACCCATGCATTTAAACAAATTTCCTGTGACGTGGAGCCCTAGGAAACACAGGAGAAAATGTCTGCTTTTATGCGTAGGCCACACAGAAATGGAACTGGGTGAAAAGGTGTCATCAGATGAGAGGCCCATCTGTTAGGACTGTGCTAAGGCTTCTCATGCAGTGCTCCTTCCTTCCAGGCCAGGGAGAAAGGAGAAGGGCA